GGGGGGGGGGGGGGGGACCGTCTCTAGAGCCGCTGCACTCCTAAACCTCCCGGTTGCTAAGCGACTCGTCAACAAGGCAGGTCAGTAGCCCCGCCCCTCGTGACGTACGTTTCCTGGTCTTTTAAGCCGGAAAGAGCGGCTAGACAAAAAACTACGGACTAAAACTACGACTCCCAACAGACCACGGGATGCGGGCCATTTGCGCGTGCGCATTACGTCTCCGGGCGTGAGGGCGGGGAGGCCGAATGATTTAACCCGCGAACACCGCTGGTGGGAGGCACTTGCGGGCGCCGATGAGCGCCTAGACCCCCTTCTTGCCCAGCAGCCGCCACTTTCCCAGTGACCATGATAGGTACGTGGGTGCCTGCCAGGTACAACCTCCGCGCCGCCCCGGGTCCAGGTGTGGCAGGCGACTGCGACCTTCGAGTGCCGGCCGGTGCCCTCTGTCAGTGACAGGGCAAAAGTGTCCGCGCCGTCCTGCCCCGCGCCGCCGGCTCCGCTCCGCGGTGGACACCGGCGCAGCGTCCCGGCGCTCGTGGGTGGTGCCGGAGCCCAAGTGTGTGTTTTCAGTCGCCACCATCCCCGCCTGTAGCGTAACGGGGCTCCTACTGAAGACAACTTCTCTAGGGATTCCGGGGTGTCCCACTGCGCCCCCTGGCTCCCGCGGGGGACAGGCTGGGTCTCGCCGCGCCGCCCCCTCAGCCTTGCACGCCGTCAGTTAGAACCCTAGAACAGGGTGCGTACAGCTAGGGTCCGTTTCTCCTTCAGACTTCTCCCCTCAAGTTCTTGAAGGGGCCCTGGTTGGCTGTCATCCGTTAAGGAAAGATCCGGATCCTGTGTCTGTAGGACTCTGAGGAAAGTGAGGAAGCATTAAGCTAGTGGAAGATACCTGATGATAAGTGCTGGGGTCAAAAGAAATGTCTCCAGATTTTAATTTTTTTCTCCTTCGCGTCTCTACTTTTAAATCCCTCAGTGAAGATCAGATATAAAATGAGAAAGAATAATAGTGATGATTAAATTTCTTGCCTTTTGTACCTATATGCAGTTCTGTGTATAAAACTTTGTACGTGGTTTATTAGTGCTACAAAATGAAGTGTAAGATTAGATACAGTCCATTCTTTAGGGGTTGGTACCAAAAGTTACTTTAAATTGATAGGATAGAGTAGTATGTTTAGAAAACGTTGCTATTCGTAGTTTCATTATTACGGAGACTTGCTCTAGTTTATGGTTAGAAGGTTTGGTGAACTTGTTTGGAGATTATTCCTGTTGTCACTTAGAAGACACTTTTGATTGAAACATGCACATTTGAAGTCAGAAGTGGTTTGTCTAGCTGGAAGGTGAGAGGTGGATTTATAAGATATACATTTTATGTTCTGAAAACACTTAAATCTGTTTTGTTTATGAAAGCAGTGTTAAAACATTCTTCCCATCCTAGTCATGCCAGTTACCTGACATCATCTTGTCTTACCTTTCTAATTTTTGGTGAATGACTTGAAAGTTATCAAATTAAGAAAAAATATTAATTTTTGTAAATTGTATGAACGTTTTAGGCATAAGATATACACTTTTTGGTTTTTTTTTGGCAGTACCAGGGATTGAACTCAGGACCCTGCGCTTGCCAGGCAAGTGCTTATTCTACTGAGCTATCTCCTTGGCCCAACATATACTCTTGTAAATAGATCTGAACAGAGTATTTGAACCAAATAGAAGAGAGTTTTCAGTCTCTAATATATTGTATAGGAAAACAGTAGTCTGTATCTTAGTTTGATCATGTTTTAATTCAACTTAGTCAAGTACAGAGATTTTTTGTTTGTTTGTTTTTTAGAATGTATTTGGTTGTTGTAAGGTCTCACTATGCAACTCAGATTCATGCTGATTCATGATTCATTCAGCCTCCCCAGCACTGTGATTGCAGGCATGTGCCACTAACACCCCCCCCTCTGGCCCACTCAGCCTGTCCTAAGGGCAGGACTGGCACCCCACGGGATTGAAACGTGGTCCCTATGCTTACCTAAACTTGCCTAAGCAGGCGATTTAGTCTGCTGAGCTATTTCAATGGCCCCAAGTACAGAGATAGTTTTAAGAGAAACAAACTTATTCTAAAGCTATATAAAGATATGAATTTAAGATACAGAAATTATCACTTATTTATAAATTATTATCTAATAGATATATTAATAACAATATTGTGATGAAATACATTTAGGTTTTTTTATTTTGAGTTTTATTTAGAAATCTACTTCCAAGAAGAAAGAAGTATGATATGTGGATTATAATGAGACAGATCAATTACTGGCAAAAGCATGGAGTAAAGTGAGTTTTAAAATTATTTTTTTGGGCTGGCGAAATAGCTCAGCGGATTATAGTGCTTGCAAACAGGTGCAGGGGCCAGGGGTTTGATTCCCCAGGCCTGCCATGCCGGGCCCCACCCCTGGGGCATGCTGAGAGTGCATTTGAGACTGGGCGTGGTAGCGCAGGCCTGTAATCCCAGCTCTTGGGAAGCTGTAAACAGGCGGATCACTATAAATCCAATCTAGTAGTGAGACCCTGAACAACACCCTGTAGACCATTCCCTAAAATACAAAAATAAATAAAATAAAATTATTTTTTCTCTTATTCAAATTATTGTCTTACATATTGCACAGTATAACAATATAAATAATAAAATCCATGCTTCCCCAAGAACAGTACTTTCCATATAAAAACCCTATAAACAGTGCAGAATAGGTTGTCTCATTCAACTATTGTATTTTCCTTGCCTGTTTCTGTTGTGGTCCACTTGTTCTTACAAGTCCAAATTGCCACATTTGGATGTAGATATGTTGAGCCGTGCTCAATGGAGGTGAATGTGCAAACAGTTAAAAGGATACTCTAGAGTAGTGGGTTTTGTGTTTTGGTGACTACATTTTGAAAGTGTGAAAGAAAGACATAATAGTTTTACCCAGTGATTAGTTGGAAATCAAACTACACAGGTATGTTTAGCGATTGTTTTACTTCTGAGGATGGGAAGGGATGGTGTGGAGAATCTGGTTCGTTTCATGCCCATACTCTTCCTAATTGCCTCACCTTCCTTGATGCAAATTGTACTCTTCTACTTTCATCTAAATCTTGGCTTTAGAAGAAAATTAAAACAAAACAAAACATGTTTCCTGGCAGAATAGTAGTAAAGGGAATGACTATCAATAAAATTACCTTCCATTACTTTCTAAGAACAGTGGATTCCCTTTTTGGCACTGAGACTATTTCAAAAGTACTTGCATTTCCCACTAGGCTTATGATTGATATATTAAATGCCCTGACACAGAGAGATACCAAAACATAACTTAAGTCAGTAAAAATTTGTGCCTTTGTGAGAAGTATGGAAGACTTCAAGATAGTATAAAGTAGAAAAGCTTAAATTCAACTTAGAAAACTGTAATTCTGGCACCTTTATTAAAAGTATATTTCACCTTTTTTAAGGAAAGTCTAACACTTGTGTTTGAAGTTTAACATTTAATTTTAGTGATGATATTTGTGGGTTGTTCTGTGTGCCCTATAGATTTAGGCATTTAGGTAGTATCAACAATAAAGTAGTAAATGGATAAGCATATGATAATGCTGTCAGTAATGAAACTCAAATTCAATGTCATACTTTAGAAAGATTTTTGATTGAGTTAAAAACAAAAATTAGAACATATTTTATATTTTTTTACTTAGTATTTTTTGGAGAAATTATATATTTGTATGTATAGATCCATGATATGGTGATTTCTGCCTAGTCTATTTAATAGGCTATGTTAATTATGCAGAAGTTCTCCAGTAAATGATCATTCAGTGGGCTTAGTGCTTTTCAGTGTACAAGCTGCACAGCTATTGTGTCTTGCACAACCTGATAATGTTAATGAGGGTCCATTTTCCTCTGGTCAGCAAATGTTTTTGTTATTGTTTTCTTGTTAGATGAATAACAGTATATTTTAATTTTAAAGTGAGTTTATGATGATAAAAATTTCTTGACTCTGATTTTATTATACCTTAGGTTCAGATACCATTTCCAAGGCACGAATGCCTACTGTGTACTCTAGGTTCCAGGAATAGAAGAGGAACACAAGTGTCTTTCAGAATGTACAGACTTACTTTATTATTGACCCAGTAATCTCTGATACATTTTTAAAGCTTGTATTCAGCACATTTTAAAATATTTGACTGTATTTCTAGTTGAACATACTGTGTATGGCTACTTGCCTTGACATTTTGATAACTTTAGATGAAAGCAACTCTTAAGTACCCAAAAGCTTCTGTTTATTGTGAGGTACCGTTGTGTCACAAAATACATTCTACTAAACTTTCGCATGGAGGATTTCGTGTAGTTGTATCCGCTTCTTGTTTGGCTCTAAAGTCTCTGAAATGACCTTATACCCTTTATAATGTTGGCCCTATTTCTGAGGATTTTATTGAAACCTGCTTTTTTGTTTGAAATCAAATCATTTTTTTGCTTGAAAATGATACAGTGAAAGTACTTTGTATTAAGATATGCAAATCCATTCCTATTTCCAAAGCTTCTTTGAAAAATACACAAAAAAGAAAAAAAAAGTTATCCTTCCTTCCAAATGTTTTATATTTATGAAAATAGTTTCAATGCAAAATACTTTATTCTGCTAGCTTTCAGTTCTTTGATCAATGAAAATTGTTTCTTACCTGCTGTTTCTTCAGCCTTTAATTGTGGCCTAGTGCTTATTCAGTGTTTCTGTTTTAATTTGCATTTAATGAGCTTATTTTAAATGTTTCTTTGTATTAACTGAATAGTTTCTTTAAGTTTTGTAATATTAAAGAAAGAGACTTACTTTGAATGTTGGCTGATTTATGTTCTAGCTCACCCCTAAGCCTTATTTACTTCATCCTGTGTTAGAGAATTTTGGTTAAAAGGAATCGTATTAATAGGTCTATTTCCCTTAGTATTATGTTTCCTAATTATCTAGGATTTGTACCGAGGTAATGCGCATACCTGTTTTTCATCAAATAGAAAGTTTTCTCCTTGGATTAATGAGTATTTCAATTCACAATAATAATTCCTTTGTCAGTTCTTTATAAGTGGTGCTGGGCAGAGGTAAAAAATATATGTGCTTATATTACCTATGGATAAGGGGCACAGAAATATGCCCCCTATGACTTTAGAATTCAGCTGGGCTGATAAGACATGTTTTTGTCTTATCAGAACCACTATCTCTCCTATAGAAGCGGAGTACAATAATTAGGAATGTGTATGTGTTTTGTGCCACACATTCACAGTGGCTAATTTTGCATACTTCTGTAAGGGATAAGGAGTCTCTGAAGTTTGGGATTATCAGTATCACCCTTTTGAGATTTCCTATTATC